GGCTCAATTCTGAGAACACGTCATAAGGTTGGTATAATTTTTAGTCTGTTGTTCAACTGAGGCTGAGACTGTGCATCAACTTAAGCTAATAAGTGACTAGGATTCTCACCAAAGGAGTTTTGACCGTGGAACCCACATACAAAACCAGTGCCGGACTGTGTGAAAGTTCGTATAAATGGGTCAGTGAGGTGCTCTTCTGGACACTATGTACATTTTAATGGGGCTCTTAGGAGTGAGTGCTTTAGCTCCTGAAAAGAATCCACAAGCTGGTGGGCACATAATGGGCTGCGGTGACCCTTCAAATCAGCCACTACACATGCACTACTAGTTCTTAATTTGCTCGCACAGGAGACTCATGGGAAGCTTTAAAAACACAGCTGGGTTCCTGCCCTCAGAGCCTCATGCGTGGGGTGTCGCCTGGCATGGGAATTGATGAAAGCTCCCCAGGTGACTCTCAGGTACAGTTTGAGCTTTTGTCACAGGAAGCCACTGGCTCCAGCTAACTCTGCAGAGAAATGAATTACGGGTCTGGAGAACAGCTCAGTCCTAATGTATCTGATGTACATATCTGCCTTCTGTAGCCAAAATATTGGGCTCTTTCCAAAATCACAACTGCCTCTTTGATGAGGTCAGGCTTGCTATTTTGACTTGGATATGGTAGAACTTAGCATTGTTCAGAGCAACAAATTGTATGGCATTGTAATTGGGTTATGTGGGGAGATTTGCCTTCTTAACAGTCTGCTGCCATGGAGTAAGGCTGGTCGAGGGGAGAGTCATGGACAGGAGGAATTCCTTGAAGGTGAAGAGCTATTGAGGGGCAACTCAGAACCTCGGTTGTAGAGAATTTCCATATGTTTACGATGATAGCCTTCTGTGGAAATATATTGACCTACTCTACATCGCAGATGAGACTCCAACACAGTGACCACAACTGTGTGGCATTTTGGGGAAATTTGCAGAAGGTAAAAACAAGTGATCTTAGAGGGAACAATTCAGTGGCACTCGGTATGCTCAGGGCTGCACGGTCCACCACATCTGTAGGCCTGGGCATCTCATCACCCCAGAGGAAACCCACCCCCTTCCAAATCCTTTTGATCTCAGAAGCTCAGAACTCGTCTGTGTTCCTTCCTGAAGCCATCACAGTTGCACACTGGCCTCTTTCCCTCCTAGTTTTTTCCTTGGCCATTTATTATGCACTGACCCTCTACCACTTAGGGCTGGATTGCAGGGGCCATGCATCTTGCTCAAGGTGGGACAGTCTGGGGGGTGGCCAAGTGGTTGGACGTTGTTTGCAAAGCCAGTATGAAAAATTTGATTATGTTAAATGACCCTTAGCTGTCCTGTAAGTTGCTCATCATGTGTGGTAAATGTGACATTGGATAAATAGTCCTGCTCAGTAATTCATAAGAGCCTGAGACTGAGAATCTATGGAGGAAGGTAAAAATGAGGAAGGAAGCAGAGGGGAGGCCAGCCATCCTGCATCCTCAAACCAGACTGATGTAAATGCTTTATTTTAACTGCGAGCACCTGTAACTGTAATGCATGTCCACATGTTACTGTGGAGGTTGACATGACAGCGTCCACACACTTCCAGGTGCCAAGTGGGTACTACCTTTGAATCTAAAACTGGCTTGATCAGCTCTGTGTATCCTACATCCTTTTAAAAGCTAAAGAGGAAATTGGATGCCCACATGCCCTCTAAGTTGGCATTACCTTGTTGCTTATGCTCTCCCTCCCTCCACTAAGTAGCTGCTGCTCTTCTCCGGAACTGTCCACGTCACCCTGTTAGAGTATATTTTTATGTGAATTATTTTCCCAAGTAGATATGTTCTGAAATTCAGGGGATGCATTTCCATGTTTGTACTTTGATTACATGGTGCTTACCACAATGTATTTCTGTATAAACTAAGTGTCCCATAAGGGCAGGCACACATTCTGTTGATGTCCTGTGCTCAGTGAATGTGTAGTGAGCATCATCTCTATGCTAAGGAGGTGCTAGATCTCAAGGATGCAAAGATGGTCAATAGTATGCCTGAAATTTCACAGTAATGATGTGAGACTGTTGTGAGGACAAATGACGGCAAAATCAGATACAGCTAATCAGAGAGGGCCATACTGTGTCAGCTCATTGGGGAGCTGGCTCTGGGGACATGGTGTTGAGTGGATGGTGCTGGTGCTGGACTCTATGTGAATAGGGAGGAAAGGACCCTGGCCCTAAACCAGCAAGAATAAGGACAGAAGTCGGCAACCTTTCTGTGAAGGGCCAGGTAATGAGTCTATTAGGCTTTGAGCCATAGGAATTTTTTGAACAATATCATTAAAGTCTGGAAGTAGGATAATGCATAAATGGTTATGGATGTGTTCCAGTTTAACTTTATAGATGACAAAATTTGACTAGACATATTTTTTCACATTATGTGAACATTGATCTTTTAATTTTTTCAACCATTTAAAAGTTCTAAAGTTTAATTCATGGGCTATACAAAAGTAGGCCTGGTGCCAAATTTGGCCTGCAGATAGTTTGCTGACCCTTTTACAAAGGGAAGTGAGCTGGTGCTGCAGGAGCAGACCCGAGTACAGGCATGTGAGTTCTGATGGAGGTCAGCACACCTTTCTGAGTGGCCGGGTGGTAGGTCTAGGTGGAAGACGAGGTCCTGCACTTCCAACATGCTCCCAGGTGGTAGTGATGCTGAGGTCCTTGCATGGAGCAGAGAGCTAAATAAAGTAGCACTACAGTCCCACTTGGTGGGACCTAGTGTTGATTAGTTCTGTGGGTGTGGGGAAATTCAGAAACTTTCTACCTATCCATGGCTTTTGGTCTACTCAAGGACATTTTTATGTAAGTATAAAGATAATTGAACTCGCCCAGGGTAAGAACTTAACAGGGAGTCAGGAGTGACTTATTCCCGTTCTGGCTATGATCACCTATGCAGTGAGAGTGTGGCACACAAGTTCCAGCTGAGCTGGGCTGGGCCCCCAGCCTCAGTACATCCATTTGCTTCCTGTTGGGATTGCTTTTATTCTTCTCAGTTGTTTCCCTGTCTTGAGCCATTGGGACACCATTTATACTGAGGCTGTTCAGGTAAAATTTCTTGGATGTGCTGACTGGAGGGGAAGTCCCAAGAGTATACCTCAGCATAGTGACTAGAGAACTGTACTGAGGCTGAGGAATAGGACCACTCATCTAAAGCTTAGGGACAGGATCTTGCAAGTCATAGCTGCTGGATGGATGGTGGCCTCAGACAATGGAGAAGGGATGTTGACAGGTAAGGTTGGAAAATGCTCAAAGTTTACCTTGAAGATTCTTAATACTAAGAAGCTCTCAGGTACTATAACTATACAGATCTTTGTTTCAAAATGTTATCTTTCTATAAAGATAGAGTAATATTGTCTTACAAGGCTCGGGAGGCAGGGCGAAAGTAAACATTCTGTGGATTTCTTTGTGGTATCAGAAATGAATGATTTTGGCTCCCTACCTGAATTGCGATGTGAAGCATGAAAACTGGTGGATATTCGCTTTCTCATGGATAAGTTTGATTCTATTACTGTAGGACTTTCCTGCTTAGTAATGAAATAAAAACTTAGTAGGGGTCAGGGTCTTATTCTTAAAAAAGCCCAGTGACCACCTGGAGAAACATAATCTTGCAGTGGTTGGGAGGAGGCAGGACCCAAGTGAAGCCAGCTGGCTGGCCACAGGGCTTGAAGTTGTCGCTCCACTAGGAGGTGTGGACTGTGCTGACCCAAGCACACATTCTGGCTGACCTGCTAGTTAAGAGCCACTTGTTTCCGGTTTTGTAAGAATATTCTGTGGCAAGAAAACTACGTCTGCATGTGCACAGCTTCTGAAGCAAAGAGGCCCCATGGAAACTGCTTACCTATTCGGAGAACTTGAATCAGTCTGGCAGCTGTGAGAAGGGTGGGGCTAGGGGTGACACCAGTAGATCAAGATGCTACCATTTAGTGCAGCATGTGGTATTCTCGGGAGCTTTTGTTACTCCTGGTGAATTGGTCTGACCAGGACTGATGTTCTTGAAGCCAGGTGATTTATTTATTTTAATTTGTTACATATGATGCAATTCAATTCATATTACGCTTACAGAGCACAATTTTTCACAGTTCTTCTCTGGTTGTACACAAAGTAGTCACACCATACGTGTCTTCATAAATGTACTTTGGAATGAGATGAACATCATTACCCTGTCTTTGCTACCCCCTAACCCCCCACCCTTCTTCTCCCTCCCCTTTGCTCTATCTAGAGTTCATCTATTCCTCCCATGCTCCCCCTCGCCCCCATCCCCATTATGAGTCAGTATCCTCATGTCAGAAAACATTCGGCCTTTAGTTTGTTGGGATTGGCTTACTTCACTTAGCATTAGTCTCCAACTCCATCCATTTACCTGCAAGTGCCATGATTTTATTCTTATTGTGGAGTAATATTCCATTGTGTGTACCAGTTTCCCTATGCATTCATCTACTGAAGGGCATCTGGGTCGATTCCACAATTTACCTACTGTGAATTGTGCTTCTATAAACATTGGTATGAAGCCGGGTGATTCTATTGAGCAGCTGGGGCTGAGAATGCCAAGTTGAGACTCATCGGGCAAGTCACTGGAGTTTGCTCCAGGTGTCACCACTTGCCTGGAAGGGCCGTGTTATCTCCTGCCAGGGGCTGGCCAGGTTAAACAAGGTTAGGATAGTGTCTGGGGTAGGTTGAATGAGGATTTGGGGGCATGTTTGTGGCTTATACAATGCAAAAATCCAAGTGGCAACTTGGGATGCTGAAGCGTGTTTTGGTTGACCTGTTGTTTGGGAAAGTGGCTTTATCCCTGAATGCAGAATATCAGCTAGGTTTCCCAAATGGGAATTTGTGGATTTCTTTGTAATATCAGAAACGAATGATGGCTTTAGAAGTTCTAGTGGCCCCTCCTAGATAATGACTCATGTTTAGGACCCTGCATACTTCACCTTGTATCTGAACTTTTTCCATTCTCATCTTTCAGTACACAAGGGTCTGGATCCCTGACCCGGATGAAGTGTGGCGCTCAGCAGAATTAACCAAGGACTACAAAGAGGGTGAGAAGAGCCTCCAGCTCAAACTGGAAGATGAGACTGTAAGTCCTGGCGCTGGGTGTGGGAAGCCAAGGCCTGTGCTGATCAGGACTTGGTGGTACCTTGTGGGCTTGGCTTTCTCCTGGCCATTGGAACTTCTGATCCCTTGGATTCTTTCTGTCGATGGCAATGCATCTCAAAGTCCTAACCCTAAGGCTGCCCTGGGCATGTCACATAAGTGCCCATTGGGGTTAATAGCTATGAGCACTTGTGGCTGAGGCAAGCATCTTAAGTGGAGTGAGGGCAATGGAGGCCTCTCTGTGGGGAGGAGAGAAGAGAACTATCACGAGGGCCGTTGCAGGTAAGGTGGCAGGAGTGTGGGTTGCAGTGCAGTCTTCCTGGGTGGATTCAGCCTCAGCCATCACTGGCTTTGTGACCCTGGACATGTTAGCAGTTCTGTGCCTATTCTCCCTGGAAAACAGGATGATGGTTTGTCTAGAGCTAGTTCTGAGAATAACATGGGGTAAGATGTAACAGGTACTTCAGGGTAGTGCCTGGCAGGAAGGGTCTCCATATGTGTTGGATGCATTGTTTTGATTAACTTTCAGGTTGTCGTCATCAAAAGGAGATGGAGGTATTAACTCTAAAACTCTCCTCCTGAAAGCTTTCATTCAGTCTCCTTTTCCAGGAGCCATTGGCTACCTCTGATACGTGCATTCCACACATACCAGTGCTCAGAATGAGCACTGGGGCCAGGCAGGTGCATGGGGGGACAGTCGTGACCCCACATTTTGGGGATCGCAGTGCTGGAGGTGACAGTGAACAAGCAATAGAGGTGAGGCAGAAATGCAGTAGATACGGGAGTGGAGGTGTGGGAGGGAGGCTTAGCCAGCTGGGGTGAAGGTGCTTAGAGGTCCAGCTTCTTGAGGGCTGCAGAAGGAGCCACTGGAGAGTTGGGGTGTGCAGGCTGGGAGGAGAGTGTGCCACAGAGCAGTGGGGTGTGCCAAATTCCTAAGTTCACTTTGGATGTGTGCAAGGGAAGGAAAGGAAGTCAGTGCCTCTAGGACCCAGTGGGGAAAGGGGACAGGTAACGTCAGACTGAGGATAGAGGCAGCAGTTCATGCAGCATGTACAATGGCGGGGACCAGGAGAGAAACCGATTGTTAGCAAAGGTGCGGGGAGAGTCGAGATTGTTTTCTGGGGTGGATTCCTTGGGCTGCAGGGTGGGCATTGCTTGTAGGCAAGGTTTGGATTGGTGTGATCAGTGCCTCTCTAAACTCCAACAGCATTAGAAAGTCTGAACCATGTCCTGAAGCCTGCATTATTTACTGTTGCTGTTTGTCATTCTTTCAAGCTCTTCGGTCTTGCCCACCTTTCTAGATGGTTGGTGATGAACCTGCCCATTGAACAGTGTCCCATCTTGAACATTCTCCTACTGTTTTGTGTCAATATAATTGGGTGTGTTACTTAGTAAAACTAGGGCAGAACAGTGAGTTGGTTAGGAAGTATCAACACCAAGGTCCCCCACCCACACCTTGCTCTTGCGGACAGGCAGGCTTTGCTAGCCCCCTCCAAGTTTTTTAGGTGAGAATCAACTCCCAGCAGATGGAATCCTGTTTACCATGTTGAAAAACTTCCCACCCTCTGCCTGAAACAAAATGAGCCCACCCACATGAATAGTGTCTTCTACTCCAACAGATTTCATTTCAGTTGATGTTTTCAAGTGGGTGGGTGTTTTTAAAAGTTGTACGGAGGTAGTGAGGAATGATCTGCTGTGTTGCTAAAACAGAGCAGATGCTTGCCTCTCCGCTACACTTGGATTTGGCCCTGCATGACTAATCTTGGCAGCTGTCCAGGGTCCATCTCTTCCCTCTCTGGCTTTGAGGCTGGTCAGTGTGGAATTGACAGGAAGCCTGGGGCTGAAAATCAGTAGTGCTCCAGAAATAATGGGCTCTGAGTGTCTGAGTCTGTCCAGGTTACTCATGGGCTGCCCTAACTGGCTCTAGGTGTCATTGGGAGTGACCCAGGTGCTGTGCACCAGAAGGAGTCCAGAGCAGCATGACTGGGTGAGCATTTGAAGCACGCCCCCCTCTGAAGCTGGAACCATTCTCTAAGCACCAAGCTGGTGGAATAGCCACCTCAGTCTTTGCCCCTAACCCCCAAAGGCCAGAGTCTCTTTCATTGCTGAAGCAAAGAGTTAGAAAAACTTTCTTGCAGAGAATCTGATTTTAACTGTAGCCTTAGGGCAGGACCTTACTGCCAATCTGTCCCCTCTACTTTCAAGGTACCTGGGCTTACTCACTGTTCCAAGATGATTTCCCCGACTTTTGATCCTTCATGATTGCCATAATGAAAACATACTTAACATAAAACTTACCATGTTAACCATTAAGTGTATAGTTGAGGGACATGCACAATGTTGTGCAGCCATCCCACAATCCTTCTCCAGACTCTTTTCATCTTGCGAAACAAATTGTCCTCATTCAATGCTAACTTGTCAATCTCCCTGTTCTTGGCTGCAGTCCCTGGAAGCCACCATTCTACTCCCGATGACTTTAACTACTCAGTGTTTTGTGCATAGTAGACTCAAAACAGGCTTGTTCCATCTTGCATATAGTACAGGATGTTTTGTATTATACCTAGTAAGATGGTAACCTATTGGGGATAAGAATGGGCCTCTACCTTTTCCTCCCCGAGCTGTGATGGTGTGAGCTAGCCCTACGCCTGGGATTCTGCTGCTAAAATGGATCTGATATGTCAGCAGGTGCTCACCTTGGAGACGTGTGGTGTCCTGACACCTGGCTGGTAGTGGAGCCCTGTGCAAATCAGCTCTCTCCTGGCCCCACCTCACTCACAAGCAGCTCCCTGCCCTCTAGTGGCTGGGAAAACTCTCCCCCCATCTCCATGATTTACTTCTAAAATGGTTTTCACCTGACTTAAATCTTTAGGTATACATGACAGTGTATTTTGACATAGGATGTTATACACCATGTATGTATACTAATTAGGATTTCATTCTTAAAGTTCTTTTTAGAGGGGCTGGGGATGTGGCTCAAGTGGTAGTGCACTCTCCTGGCATGTGGGAGGCACTGGGTTCAATCCTCAGCACCACATAAAAATAAGATTGTGTCCACCTAAAACTAAAAAAATTTTTTTTTAAAATTCTTTTTAGATATACATGACAGTATATGTTCACATACTATTATACATATCTGGAGTATAATTTCCCATTCTTATGGTGTGCCTGATGTGAAATTACACTGGTTGTGTATTCATATATGAACATAGGAAAGACAAATCTAACTAGTTTTACTGTCTTTCCTCATCCCATACCTCTCCTTTCATTCCCCTTTGTCTAATCCTGTGAACTTCTATTCTTCCCTCCCACTCCCTTATGAGTTAGTTCCACATAACAGAATATTTGGCCTTTGGTTTTTGGGGATTCTTATTTCAGTTAGCATGATAGTTTCTAGTTCCTTCTGTTTACTGGCAAATGACAAAATTTCATCCTTAAAAAATATTTTTAATTGTAGAAGGCCACACAATACTTTGTTTATTAATTTGTTATGTGGTGCTGAGAATCAAACCAGTGCCTCACATATGCTAGGCAAGCACGCTGCCACTGAGCTATAGCCCCAGTCCCCCAAATCTCATTCCTACTGGTTGAGTTATTCCACTGGGTATAAATGCATTTATCCATTCACCTACTGAAGGGCAACTAGGTTGGTTCCATAGCTTGGGTTATTGTGAATTAAGCTGCTATAAACAAATGTTGGCGAGGATATGGTGGGAGAGATACTCCTACATTGCTGATGGGACTGCACATGGTGCAACCACTGGAAAGCAGTATGGAGATGCCTCAGGAAACTTGGAATGGAACCACCATTTGACCCAGTTTTACCACTCCTCGGTATATACCCAAAGGACTTAAAATGGGCACACCACAGTGATGCAGTCACCTGAGTTTGTGACCTTGATGGTCCCTCTTAGTGCAAAACCCTGACTGCTTCCTCTGAGAACTCAGGAGCAGTCGGGGTTTGAGAGGAAGCAAGAAGCAGATGAGCTTTACAGAGAGGAATGTCCTCCACCTGTGCCTTGGTGTAGCCAAGCCTGCTTTGCTTGACATTTGTGGGATTGGGCAAGAATGCAAGTCTTCATCTCTTTGATACTTATAGACATTTTGATTAAAAATAATTTGAAAGATTAAAAAAACCCAGGTATTTGCAGCTGTACTGTCTCCACCCAGCTGCCAGTGCAAGGGCCAGCACCTCTGCTTTGGGCATGCTGCCCCTGTGCTTTCGTAGAACACGAGGGTGACAGGTCTCTGTGGCATTGCTCCTCTCCCAACTTGCAGTGGTCAGATACTCGGCGAGCATCTCTGACGCCACAATGAGTAGTGAAGTGGCAGTGTTCGATTCGGATCCCGTTAACAACAAAACACTTTGTTCTTAAGCACCCCCCTTCCCTCTGGACATACAGAAATCTGTGGCTTGGAATGCTGAGCTGGCAGCTCCCCCCTCTTTTCTGCTGCTCTGGGCATTTTTGCTCCTGATCAATTCTACTGTAACAAATATCACTTGCTTATTTGTGAATGTGTTTGCCCCAAATTGCATACACTCTTGTATCTGCGTGCTTGCAGGGAGTCTTCGAGAGGGGAGTCATTCTGGGGATGCTGCCCTTCCTGCCTCAGGATGTAGAGATGTGGGCTGAGGTGTCTTCAGACTCGCAGTTCCACCTGCAGCTGTTGCTGCAGCTTGAGGTAGGGGTACAGGAAGGTGCAAAGCATCCCTCTGGATATCTTTAGAATGGCTCAGGGAGGGTGGTCCAGCAGAGTCCCAATGATGCCACTGACCAAGCAGATGAAGAAAGTGACTAACGGTTGGGCTCTTAAACGTTCCATAAAGGCCCATGTGCTGAAGGCTTTGTCACCAGCCATGGTACTGTTGGGAGAAACACTGATGTAGGGGCCCCAGTGGGAGGAAGTTGGGTCTTTGTGGTGTGCCCTTGAACCAAGTCCTGGCAACTGAACGGCTCCTCTGATTTCTGGCTCTGTGAGGTGAGGAGCTTGCTCCACCAGGCTCTTCTGCCATGAAGTCCTACATTACCCTGAGTCCAAAAGCAATGGAGTCGAGCAGCTGTGGACTGAAACAGGCACAATAAGCCTTTGTTCCTCACAAGTTGACTATATGAGGTATTTAATAACAGTAATGGAAGTCTCACTAGCACAGCTACCAACTCCAGAATTTGTAATGAACTAAAAATCAACCTTCAACGCTCCATTTTTTTTCTCCCTCCCCACCTTCTGGAATTTTTATCTGCATCTTCATGATAGTTTACTAGTTTCCTGTATAGAGAAATCTTAAATGGAACTTTCCACAGAAAAGGCCCTCAGTTAACATTAAAGGGGAAAGAATGAACAGGACACAGTAAAGAGAAGAAAACCAGATAACAATATTATGGGGACATTATTCCAGACAGACTGTTGTCTTTCGTTTTATGAAAATGCTTTATTTAACTTGGCATAACACTCTGGGTAACTAGCTGACCAATTGGGTCCGTTGCATTTCGCCTTCATTCTTTATAGCTCTACTATAAAGATCACTTATAAGATGAATTTGTTAAGACAAGAGTCTTGAGTACCTGCTGCCCTGCAGATAGGTGGGACGAGTCTGTATTCACATGACATCTTCCTATTGCCACACATATCCTGTGAGTGTCTCATTTTTAAGTATGATTATCTGGTAATAGTAATGCTGAATTATTTTATTTGCATCTCTTTGGTTACTGGCCACAGTGAGCAGCTTTTCATGTCATTTATTTTGTGATTTTGTTTTCTATGCCCAACTTCAGTTAGTGCACTTGCTTTTTAAAAAACTGGGTAATAGTATGAATTCTGCTTTGTTCATTCCGTTCTCCAGTTGGACTTTGCAGATGGTATTTTATGATAAATTTTAAAGTCCTATGTTGTAGTTGAATTTATGAATATTTTCCTACATGTTTCTGGCTTTTGCATCATCCTTCAAAAGTCCTTCTTGCCAAAACCTAAATATTTGCTTACTTTTCTCGTTAGGCTTTAATTTGTTCCATTTTTATTTTGGTCTGAGCCAGAGTAGAACTTTTCTCTTAAATAAAGGGCTAGATAGTTTACCCCAGCACATTCACTCCTTTTACTCATTGATTTGCAATCTCAACATGTTCAGATTTTCCATAAATAGCTTGCAGTTACTTCTAGATTGGTCATTTCATTCATCTACTTATTTAGCACCTATCACCATAGGACTGTAATTGGTGACTTCATAATGTACCTTGAGTTGGTAGTATGAGGGCCTCTAAAAGTGGGCCATAAGGAGTGCTGATATTTATGTTCTCTTAAAATTGGCTATTATCCTAGCAAATTAAGTCTGTTCATAGAATTTATCTAAAACATTTATATAGAGTAGTGATTCTTAACAATAGTATCCACAGGCTATCTATATCAAAAGTACTGGGGATGTTAAATTTTAGGTCTCTGGGCCCTACTCGAGCATTCACAAAATGTTAAGATGGGCTCAGGAAATTGTTTTCACGAGCTCCCCAGATGATTCTCAAGAACACCAAGAGACATCTAACACGTAAAATGTGAGCAGCATCTAGGTCTTGATGTTTAAATGTTTAAAAATGGGACTACCATCTTTTAAAAATTACATCTATATATATACAGAATTATAATTTTTTTCTCAAACATTGAGCATGTATGTAGTTCCAATACTGCACCAAACAAGAATACAAGGCTAACTTGTTACACTTCAGATTTGACTTAAAATACATAATCCTGCTCCTTGATTGCACACATATATCCCAAGTTGTTACTGTATTTCAGGTCAGAGCAAAATGGTTGCCCTAGAGGTGCCCCTAGTTAGATTGTGGAGCAACCTATGTGCACATGGTGCAACTTGAGGCCCTTGACAGAGCTGCAAGATAATCCAAATACAAAGAGTGTGGGTTGAGAGACAGTTAAGGGATGTCACAATAAATGTGACCAATCAAGGAAGGTCTTCTAGGTGGGGGAATGAGTGCCCTGTGACAACTAGAATTAAAGATACTGGGAGTATTTGAATCTTTAAGATGCAATAGTATGCTCTTAAATCTGGTTAAACTCCCTAAATTTCTTATGCTTAGTCTTCTGTGCTATAAATACAAGCTAAATGCTTCAAAATTCAAGGTATCCTGAGAGTAAATAATCAACAAATTTTCTACCAGTGCTGGTCGCTCATGGAATTACAGGTATTTTGTTCAGTTTGTGTTCTTTTATTATTTTTTGTTATATTGATAATTGAAACCAGTGGTTAATACATGCTAGGTCAGCACTGTACCACTGAGCCTTTTAAAAATACTTGAAATGGGGTCTCACTAAGTTGCCCAAGCTTGAGATCCCCCCATCACGGCCTCCTGAGTAGCTGGGATTATAGGCACAGAACAAGCTTACCTTTAAAATATTTATTACCTATGCTCCCCTGAAGAACAGTGATCCAAGTCAAGACAGGACTTGGAATACAGCTAAAGGCTTTATAACTGCCTTTCTGTGCCTACTGCTTGTGTTTCTTTAGATTCGGGAATATCCAGTTGACGCCCAGAACAACCAGCTACCCTTCTTACGGAATCCGGATATCTTGGTGGGAGAAAACGACCTCACTGCCCTTAGCTATCTCCATGAGCCTGCAGTTTTGCATAATCTGAAGGTCCGCTTCCTGGAGTCCAACCACATTTACACTTACTGCGGTAAGTGGGGCATCTGTTGGCTGTGCATATTTGGGAGTGCCTACAATCATTAGATTTAACTGTGCTCAAGTGGTTCAGAACCCTGATTTTTTACATGCACCTTTCACCTTGGCCTTTGGAAAGGTTTGTAATCAGTGCATGTGGCTAAATTTGGCTGCCCTAGCCTCTGTGGGATGACTGATGCTGGTCACAGCTCAACTAAAGAAACGACCCATAGCCTGCAGGATGGGTGGTTTGTTGTTTTGGTCTCAGGGACTGAATCCAGGGGCTGTAAACCCCTGAGCCACATCCCCATCCTTTTTGTTTTATTTAGAGACAGGGTCTTGCTGAATTGCGTAGGGCCTTGCTAAGTTGATGAGGCTGGCTTTGAACTCATGATCCTCCTGCATGAATCTCCTGAGTTCCTAGGATTACAGGCTTGGGCCACAGCATCCAGTGGGGTGGCCAGTTTAGAGGACATAAGTCTGCTCTGGTGTGCTGGCTCATGCACATTCCCTTGCCACCCAGCACACAGCTAGAGGTGTGTGCCTGTCTTGTACTTTCCAGTCAAAAGTTCTGCCTTTCTGACTTTGTCACTTGCCTGCGTATCAATGCGATGCTTGATGAATATAGAGCAAGCAAAATCCATAACAGATGCATAAAACAGAGTCCTGAAACTGTCAAGTTTTTCTTGAAATTGCTCCTTTTTTCTGTATTTCAAATGTTTGTTTTTCCCCCTTCTCCTTTGAATATTGGTAGATAATATGGCAAAAATAAGACCCTGTTAATTGAGAAGCAGATAACTTGAGGGTCAGGCTGGGGAGTGAGCCAGGATGCCTCTGCGGGAGTTGTCCTGGTTGTGCAGGAAAGCCCTGGTCACGTTTGGGATCACAGTGATACGTCAGCTGTCAGGTTTTTTTTTTAAATAATTTTGTTCAGTTGTAGACAGACACAATATCTTACTTTTTTTTTTTTTAATGTGGTACTAAGGATTGAACCCAATGCCTCACTCGTGCTGGGTGAGTGCTCTACCACTGAGCCATAACCCCAGCCCAGGGTCTTTTTACTTTCCTGTTCTACTTGGGTTTGGAAGTGGTGGGTCAGTGAGGAGGTCAGGGGAGCTGTTCTGCTAGGTTGCAGTGCTGGGGGGGGGGGGGCGGGGGTGGTTTCCCAAAAGCTCCTTCCTCCCGCCTGTTGGTGGGAGTTTGAAAGATGTGACCAATCATCAGAACTTTCAATAAACCCTCCCATAAGATGAATTTAGGAAGCTCTTTTAGGAAACACGGCTCAGTGGCCATCTGCTTCCAATTTAAGGACTCCATCTGAGTCTCCCGAGTGTCCACATTTATCCAAACATGCTTCGGCTCCTCCAGGTTCTGCTCTGTGTTAGGGAACTGATCTGAGTGTTCCCTCTCTGTTAATCATGTTAACCTTTAGCACATCCCGGGTAAGTGCAGTCAGCATTCCCAATTCATAGTTGAAGCAACCCAGGCATTGAAAGGCTGAACAACTGCTCAAATCACACCATAATTGATCCAGTAGTAGACCTGAAGATATGTAAAACACACTTCCTATCCATAAGTTGTTTGTATTTTAGTTAAGATAACCCATACACAAATGAGAAATCCATTTCTTGTCAGCTTTTAATTCTTGCATGGGGTTTTAAATTTCTCTAATACCTATTGGCAGATATAAACACCTTCTTCCCGCTAATCCTACAACACTGCACGTGTCTATTTTATGAACTTAGTTTGTGGAGCATTTGTTATCATGTGGGTATTGCCATACCCTAAGGCTGCAGGATAGCTGGACCCTCAGCTTATCTGCGTTGTTTTTACCAGGGCCTGGAACAAAAGCACACAACTGTCTTAAGTGGAGTTGTTGTGACTGATGCTGTTACGCCCTCATGCTTCAGGTTCCGTGTCTGAATACGTGCTTTAGTCTGATGCCCCGAGACAGCTGAGCTGCCAGACTCTGACCTCCTGTCTCTTTGCAGGCATTGTGCTTGTTGCCATCAACCCTTACGAACAGTTGCCAATCTACGGACAAGATGTCATCTATGCCTACAGTGGTCAGAACATGGGTGACATGGATCCCCACATCTTTGCAGTGGCAGAAGAAGCCTACAAGCAAATGGCCAGGTGAGGATAACTCGGCACAGACATTCTCCTTGGGAACGGGACAGGAAGGGGAGTTGCTGTTTCTTTACTGCTGAGGCTCACAGTGGAGTGGTGAGACTGGGATTGAAGAAACACCTTGGGAAAAGTCTACATTCTGTTTCCTACTTCATTCTCTCACTTCATTATCTTACTCTTACGAACTGAGAGCAGAGGCTCCTTAGCTTACTTGATTCTTTTGAAAAAGAAAATACAGTCCTTACATTTCATCTTGATTTTCTGGTGCTCTTTCCTCCCCTGCTGTAGTGGAATCATTCTAGAGCACCTCTGAGCTCTACGTCCAGCCTGCTCTACACCTTCTTACTGCAGGATACTTTGTGAGGGAGGAGGACTCCTTGACAACTTGAGGGTGGAGGTAAAAACCTTTAGTCAGAAGCCTGGAAGCAGAATTCTGATTGAAGCCCTTGAGTAATTTCTCAGTGTTTCTCTAGCCATGAAAGATGGGTGCAGGTCTGTTTCATTAGAAAATGGGCTTGGTGATGGTCTCAAGTTATTGTTGCATCATATCAGGAAAGATCTATTTTTGGGGGGAAATTCATATCCCAGTTAATACTAAAATGTTGGATTCTTTCAGATAGTTCTTGCCACCTCTAGAGAGTGTTTTAATGGACCTTGCAACATTCATACCAAAGTCCTTTGGCAGTTGGACCATTTATACTAACAAGGAGAATGGGTGATCTCTTTGTAGGGGGGATTCTGTTTAAGGTGGTGTGGTTTCATTACAATTTTTAGGCCAATAAAACTATGAAGGAAGACTTCTATAGACTACTGACCTACGATGTTTCATTCCAAATATTCAGATGAGCATATGAAAGGTCTCTTTCATTAAAGACACAGGAACTATATTCAAAATAAGCAATGGCTTGAAGGAATGGAAAGTAGAATGACTTACAACTTACCTTCAAAATGTGCCACTAAGCTGATTGCAACCTTTGACCTTTCTAATGCCACATGCTGTATTAATCTGATATCAGGGCTTGACTAGGAATCTTAGTGGGGCCAGCCTGTTGACTTACACCTCCTGACAGTGTAGCCCCAGATCAGATCTTGTGGTGAGATCACTTAGTGTGTTATACAGCAGACAGCCCTGCTTGGGTGTCACTCTTTTGAAGATCATGTGCATGGCAAGTGGGGGATAGGGCTGGGGACTGGGCAGGCTTCTGTGTTGTGGGAGAATTACTTAAGCCAAGTCTCCATTTGCTTCACATGGAGATAATGCTTCATCTACTCTCAAGGGATTTTTTTTTTTTTTCAATGGTTCTAAATCAAGGTGGCTATGGCTTGGTTCTTAAGACTTCATGCTGTGCTTTAAGTTTGGATAGCTCTCTCAACCTTGTTCATTCATGGATGCCATTGACACTTGGGGGGGGGGGTGTTCAGCTCATTCTCTTAGCCCATTATACTTACATATGGCAGAAGTTGCTGCCCTTCATACAAGGGCTGCTGTAGCTTGCAAGTCTTCTAGCCTCCAGCCTACCCATGTGCTGGGGTCCACTTGGCTCTGCCTGTGTTCCTCCCTCCCATGCATGAAGCTGGGCCTGTGGTTCTTGTAAACTGGGATTATTTCACTCGTTGGAGGCCTTGTTCACACCCACTGAAGAGAAGGGGACATGGGGGAGTCAAGGGTGGTGGTGGTGATACTGTCTTGCCTCGGGTAATGAACTTGGTAAGTAAGGGGTTTGGATGGTAAAGCTGGACCAGGACTCCTTTAAGGTTTTAAGGCTTATACTCATTTTATTCTTGGGGTCTCAGTTTGTATCGAATAATCTTGAAGTTTTGGTGCAATATTTTCTTATGAAATGTGTTAGAAATATAAGGTCCAGTGCTCGTGGCCACAGGATGAGAGCTGGTTTTGAGTTTTGTTACCAGCAGCTTCTGGTTTGTCATTATTGACCTAACAGATGGATTAGAAATCCCCCAAATATCATGTGAGCCGATGAGGGAGACCTAATGGTCAGCTACAGGCAAGGTTTTCACTGTGTTCCCGTCATGGTCCTTCTCTCTGGAACACTAGAACGCATCCTTTCAACAGTGCTGGCCGACTGCACTGTGCTCTTCCTGACTCGTCAGAACTGTCAGAGTAACTGTAACGGTTTAGGTAGCCAAAGCCTAGCACAGTGCTTTGGAGGAGCCTCCCTAAAATCTGGGTAAAGTAGAAGGTCTGGGAGGCTAAAGTTCTGAATGACAGTCTTGGGGGACTTGCACGCCGTGATTCTTTCTTTCTCTTGATTGATTAGGGACTGGATTTTTCATGATGGCTCACACATGAATCCTTCAACTCTAGATACCTAGACACTGTCAGAGTATGAGGGGTTTAATACAGACTTTTAACTCCTCCTCGGAGTTCTAGAAAAAATGTAGCTAGTGCTGGAAGAAAGGAAGAGCAGAGACCAGCAAGAGAAGAGGATTGGTTCCCTGTCCCCATCATGCTCACCAAGTCTAGACTTGAGTAAGTGCAGATCCACAGTAAAGAAAAAACTTACAATAGTATGAAACAACATATTTATGAATTTTATCCCTTGCACAGAACCTACAGCTCCCTAGGGGAGGGGAATTGACCTCCACAGTTTAGCTTTGGACCTTGTATTCCTTCCTGGCCCAAGACCCTAAATATCCTATACTTCGTTTTTGCCTGCCTCAACTCCAGCCTCGCCCTCTATTAGTGACTTAGCAATAATTTATGAAGTATCATTACTTGGTAGACTCCATACTGGCCAGTAAGAAAGTAAGATCACCCTACTTCAAGCAGGAGCTCAATGGTTAGAGAAGATAGAGGTAGGCCCAAAAGGCCTTACCTGTAGTAGGTATAAATAGAAATGGGTGCCATAGGATCATGTGAAATGATTTTGGAGATGGTGTTACAGATGGTCCAAGGAAACTATAGGAGTTTAGGTCCTAATGAATGGTAGGATGCTTAGAGTGAGAAGAAGGCATCTAGGTAGTAGAATAGTGAGGCCATAACTGAGAAGGGGGTCATTAAAAGGCTTGGTCAGAAAATTACAGTGAGATGCTGCTCCCCATCTTCTATACTCAAAAAGTCAAAAGAGTTGGTGAGAATGTGGAGAAATTGAGTCTTCATGTACTGCTAGTAGAAATGTGAATTGATTCCAGCCACCTTGGAAGAGTCTGGGAGTATTTCTAAAGGATTTCAATAGTTCCCGGTGATTCTACCCAAAGAAATGGGAACATACATTCTTGTCAAATTATAGATGTTCACATTACAACCTAAATGTCTATCTCTGGATGAATGGATCAACAAAATGGGAATTATTCACACAATAGTATGCTACCATATTGTTGAAAACATGGCAAGTGAGATAAGCTAGATACAGAAGACCACATATTGTATGACTTGGTTGATAGGAAATGTCAAGAATAGGCAAATCTTGGGGAGACGGTTACTAGTGTTCTCCTAGGACTCTAGGTTTTAGGGGAAATGGGTTGAGGGATGAGATGAAAATGTGCTGAAAATGGTTGTGGTAATGCACAACTCTGCAAATGTACTAAAAATCTGAATTGCTCACTTTGAACAAATGTTGAATAACATCAATAAAGCTATCATCAACAGGTATGGTTGGGATGATCCCCAGGCAGGTTTAACCTATACAGTGGGTACATCTGTAGGGAGTTGTGGGCAAGGTTGAAGACAAGGTAAGGCCAGATTGTGGAGACTTCTGGTGGCTTGGGTGAACTTGAGGAATGAAATGTATTTTATTTACAGCTACAAAGGTGGCCAGATGACTTTGGAAAACACTGGATTAATTAAGTGGCCCAGCTTTCTTTTAACAGAGCTTTACAGAGTTAGGTTTGACATGCATTCTGAGTCTAAGATGGTACACATTACTCTGGGTTTGCAAATCGGGTACAAAACTGTTTGCAAAGATTACCTCAAGGGGCTAATGTTCTGTGTAATACTGTTTGGAAAATACTAGCTTAGAGCAATGGAGAAATCATAGAGCTGCTTGGATAAGGACATAATGATACGAGGGATGTTCCAAGAATTTTTCTGATGGGTCCTATTTCATAATGCTTTCCTTCATTTCTAAGGATAAGAGTTCTGTCTCATGAGAAGCTTAGTTTGTTGTGGAACATAACTTGTCAAAGAACAACTTGTATGGAATGAGAAACAAAAAATTGAAAAACAGACTGTGTGGCACTACATTTGTTATGTACACTTCACTCTAAGGTATAACTGGTGCCTAAGGAAGACAAAAGTAGCAACTGGAACATTAATGTATCTAATTCTCACATTTGCCACATGAAATTGGTCACCTCATGATATTGATACATAACTTGGACATTGAACAACTCTTGAAGATTATGAAGTTAGTGAATGTGTAGGGATAGAATCCAGACCCAATCTCTTTGCCCAAAGCCCTCTGAATTAGCCAGAAAGCCATGCTACTCTTCAGCTACTCTTCAATTGTCTGTTCATTGGCCTGGACAGTTTTGTCAGATCAGTGATTCTTGTCCCCAGGACACCATTGAGGGCCATCGGTGGAACTTTTCCCTTCTAGTTCACCCACCTGATTCTGCATGGGGGTAGTTCTGCTGTATTAACCAGCCTCATTGGTGGGAGTGGACCATCTTATTGGCTTGACTGGTTCTGGTCTCCTTTTTTGAGCTGTTTGTTATGTTGCTCTTCTGAACAAGAATGGGATGGGAACACTGCAAAGCAAATCTTTCTGCTCAGGTGGCCAAGGTAATTGAGCACCCACATTCCCCATCTGTGTTGGCTATGTTGCCAAGGTGTGACTAATAATGAATGATGGGATTGCTGTTGCCTGGAATCTTGGGAGAGGGGTGGGAGACTGAAGCTAGATATACCTGTGTCATGAGGCTGGAATGCTGACAGAAACGGAGTCTTGCCTGAGTGGGAGCCATTATACATGTGGGGTTTTGAAACCTATGAGAGTGAAAGCCTGTGCCCAGTGGGAATAGCGGTTCCAGTTAGAAACCCTGGT